TATGCAAATTTCAAGAGGGACCTCCCTCACTTGAGATCGTAAGAGCGGAGAGCTCTGCCGGTGACGTTTTTAATTATTCAATAAAAACTCGATCGCGGCTATAGACTGCTTAAAGTATCCATTGTTACGTTAATTCTTCTCTTAATGTTTAGCCCGCTGCAGATAGCGGCCGGGAAACACGATATATGACTCGTATCGACATGTAGTGCGTGCTATATAGTCGTAAATTGCGATCGTAAAATACGCGAGTGCAGCAAAATGCCGGAATAAAGTGCACAAACTAGGAATTATATGGAAACTTCAGTCACGACTTTATCGCAAATTTATACCGTCGCATATTTCGCAGCATTTATACGCGGAGTTACTTCCGTACTTTTTTATCGAGAAATTGGAATTATGAACCTTCAGGTCTCGCCGCGGCAGAACGTTGTGTTAATTTCGGCATTACCATTGTTGCCTGTAATGCGGCGCATATTATTAGATAAACTACATCTTTAATCGTATTTCTCTCCAATTTAAATTGCAAACGTTTTATTACGCTCCGGCTGTAATACAAAGTACGCTCCGAGATGCTCACTCTGGATGCGGCGGTCTTCGTAACTCGCGCTTCTTCGTAAATATCAGATGACCACGGAGGGATTCCGCGTCGCTGAATCAATCTCCTCTGTCTTTATCACCGCCTGTCTTTGACCTTCCAAAACAGAAATCGCTCGGCGGCGTCTTGGGAGACGCGATTGAAAAATTTCAGCGTTCCGTCGTTTCGACCGCTCGTCGAAATGTCGGGCAGGAAACGAGATTCCTCCGGACAGCCGCTGTGCGAAACGAATCTGACAAGTCCAGCCTTGGGCGGGGCGAAAGAAGGACGAAACGGAATACGGATCTAATGTATCCGTAATGAGCGCGGTCGAAATCGCATTGCGTGACCACATGTTACGTCCCATGCCCCTAGCCCTCGCGCCCGAAGCAATTGCGCCTGCAATGCCACTTCTCATAGACACAAATCTATGACATATTCCCGACTGCTCCCCAATTTGCCTGCACCGTGATGGTAAATCACAGCAACAAGTCTCTAACTGGTTGTCTAATGCGAATGCCGATACCTGCGCGTCTCGTGGGCCTCGTTAGTCGATTTTAATCGGTTAGCGATCGCTGACGATCGGAAGAAACCAATCTCCGCGGAAAAGCGGAAAAAGCGGCCAACACACGACGATGAGGCGGAAGCTCTTTTGCGTACGTGTATTATTTTCCCGATGAGGTCAAGTATTAAGAATACTTTCGGAGGAGAGCGCGAGCATTCCACCGGGTAACGCAATTCGCTCGCTGTCGCGTCTCAAGAGTTAGATTAGCGATCGATTGTCATTCGATTAGCCTTTTTCTCCGATTTCCTACCGCGTCGTACTTTTTCTGGCTTTTCACCCCGCATTGTGGCAATTACCGGCATGCCGGCGAACGGCGGAGTCAGCTAAACAAAAGACCGTTAAAGCTATCCCCGATATCCGCATCCTCCGCTTCCGCTCGATCTCGTTTATTTCGTATCAACCTTTTCCATCAGCTTCATCAAGTATTTCTTTTCTACCGTCTTTCCTTCCAGGTTCGTCAGGACGAATCGCGCGCAAACTCACGACCGTCTCATCCCTGTGAGAACGCTATTCAGGTGCCGTAACAGTCTAGATTCATTTTAAGCATCGTTCTGCACCCCATGACTGATATGAGATGTCGTTAGACCAGTTCCTCGACGCTATCAGAGAGTCCATCAACATTTACATCCCGTTCTCACGATTGTGAATTCAACGGTGTAGCAAAATAATTTCTTCCAACTTGACACACTCGTGGAATCCGCAACGTGACAGAGCACGCGCGACACTCGCGGAACGTCTCGCACAGTCGTGAGTAATTTTCGCGCAATCACTCTCGAGAGCTCGCGAATAAATTTCCTTCGCCAGGAGGTCAAAACGAATGAAGCGCGGGATTTAACGCGCGGATCGATTTTAACCGGTCCAATCGTGAAAACGAATGCGTGTAGGCATGAAACGAGAGGGGAGTTTAGAATCGAGCACCAAGTGGACTCGAGGCACTTCAGGGTTAAATGGATCGACCCGTATGAGGCCGTTGCCAAAGTTACGTGAGCGCGCGCTCACGGTCAAAGCGGAGCTCGCTTATCTCTTTGGTTATTCAATTATGACAATTTGTTCCGAAGGAGGGTGTACGTCCCGCACACCGGCACGCTTTGTACCGGTGCGACGACGGCGGCGACGGCGGCGGCGGCGGCGGCGGCGGCGGCGGCGGCGGCGGCAGCGGCGGCGGCGGCGGCGGCAGCAGCGACGACGGCGGCGGCGGCGGCGGCGATGGCGGCGGTGGAGGCCGTTCCGCGATAAATTGAGCTCTCAAGAAGGTCTGCGATTGCCGTATATATGTGAATCGGTGTGGAAAAGGTGAATGGGCTTGCAGCAGTTCCGTTCGCGCTAGAGAAGAAAGGACGACGATGGGTTCGCCTCTCTCTCTCTCTCTCTCTCTCTCTCTCTCTCTCTCTGCCTCCCTCTCTTTTTCTCTCCCTCGCCTCTTTTTTCCCTACCCTATAATGTACGCACATACACACGCTTGGCCTCGATATGCAAAATCGCTGAATATGGCCGTAAAATGCAGGCGGCGTGTATGCCAATATGGTGAGTGCGGAAGATCCGATTCTCTCTCTCTTCTCCCGCCTGCCCGGCCGAATGACGGAGAATGGAAATATTAACGCTAACGTTTTAGCTCAATATGGTGTTTATTAATGTTTTCGTATCTCGTGTCTGGCAACCGTGTACGGTTTTTTATATCAGTAATTTTGCAATCACTCGAAAGATTGTGCGGCGCAAATTTATACGTGTTTGGTGCTTCATATTGAATGTAGAAAGCGTAGTTTCGCGATGACGCGATGGCAAATAATAACGAATCTCGCGCTCGTGAGAGATCGGCATCGCTGCCAGATTTCGAGAGCGCTCGGAATTTTCGCACGTTTTGAGAAAACGACGATTTTTCGCTCGTAAACGTTCAACCATTTTCAAACAGTTACTCCTCCGTGCCGCGATCGGAATGTCTCATTTCCTAAAGTGAACCCAATTTCCGCGCAGTCCCGAACAATCGAGAATAAGACGCGAAGGAGATCGTGATTTGCAAACGATTGAATTCAAATTATGGACATCTTGATAAAGTGGCAGTACGGCTTCGTCTCTTTCCCTTTACTTGTAATATTCTGCGAAAGAGTTCGTTTTTCTCTTCGTTCCTCGAATACCTTGTTACTTCGTCGATGCGATTCACCGCGATCAGAAATTCCCTGTTTCCACGGACAATGAACTGTAATTATATTGAACTTTTAAGTGTGTATTATGGAAAGAGTTATGGATTTATTTTCGCTACTTTCTTTCTTTCAGAATTTTATTCTGTTTTCTTTTTTCTGACAATTCTATATGCGCGCAATTCAATTTCTTCCCTCTCAATTTTATCGAGAGATCATTCGCTTATTAAACTCGCAGATATTCAATATTATACGAAAAAGCATACAAAGTATAACGTACGCGTGTGTATGTGCGTTAAGATATCGAGATACAACAAACAAAAATTTATAGATATAAATTAAATGTATACACATTTACTTTAATTACGTTCCGCTTTGATCAAACAAGTAGCCCGTATAATTTATGCTTTTTTTAATAAATGAGTATATTGCTTTCAAGCAACATTTTAATGTTACGATAGTCGTGAGACATTGTATCATACGCAACGAGATCAGAAAGCTGTATTAAAATGATTTTACGATGTCGATCGATACGTTGTCGGTGTGTCAGATAGAAATCATTATTTGCAGATACAATTGACGCGGAGTAAGTACTATACGTTGTAATAGAGATGCCGATAATGCGCGATAGCCGGTGTCGAATAATGATGAATTGTTATTACGTCTTGAGATAACAATATCATTACGAAATTGTGAACGCACAGCCAATTTTAGCTCTCGATTTCTTATTTGCACCTGCACAGATTTAGCCGTGCAAAAATATAATTGCGCACAGAGCGATGAAGGTGTATTTCAAAATATAATCAAGACATCTCTTTTTTTGGTTTTTTTTTTTCGCGAAATGTATTCTTAGTCCACAAGCTTCTCAACAACGACAAGACAATAACAGACGAATTTCTTCAGCATTCTCTAGCATTTAGATCACAATTTGCAACAATGAAACGCCCGTCAGGTCTTACGCAACTTTGCCACGATATTGTGGGAATCTCGATAACCACGACGCGTTTCGAAATGCGATTTTCCAACCTCCGTGTCTTTTCGCCGCGTCTCTCTTGAACTCATTTCGCGCCGTTTGTGCGGTATCATTTGAGGAAAAAAAAATGAATCTCATTCACGCGTGGTATCTTATTGGCCTTGCCGAAAGCCGCGAGTTTACGAAAAACGACGGTGTTGCCGACGAAGAAGGGAGAAAGATTCTGTGTTTGCCTTCGACAGAAACGAAAGCACGGACGATAAAGAGAGAGAGAGAGAGAGAGAGAGAGAGAGAGAGAGAGAGAGAGAGAGAGAGAGAGAGAGAGAACGAACGGACGAGACAGAGGTGGAGGTAGAGCTAGCCGTTGTATGGAAGCGTCAGCACACACGTTTGTATGGTAGGTTGGCCGACAATAGGCATTGTGCACCCGCCATAACCAGGAACCGAACGCGACAGCACCACGCCGGCATTGTCCGAGTGTCAGCCAGCATCCTTCTCCTCTCTCGCTTTCCCTCACTCACCCCGACTCTCTCGCGCTCACCCTATATTTCGTTCATTTCGTTCCACTCTTCATAAATCCCTTCTTTTCTCATTTACTCGCTTACCACGACCCACGTCTTTTTAACAATCCGACCGGGCAGTATCCGCGACGAGACGCGACGCGGCTGTGAGTCAGGCTAAGCGGCTATCTAAGTCGCGATCATCGCGCGGATCTGTATACTTTAAACGTTCCACGAATCGCAAGTTTATCGCCGACACGATCATGTGTATGATTAATAATGATATGAATCGCTCGAAAGAAGACGGAATTAAATGTACGCTGATAAGAACGATTGGGTATATAAAGGAACCCTAAGCAGCAGAGAGCCACAGTTTGGTGTGGGTCATATAACGTAAAGGTGGGGTAGGACAGCGTGATTTTTCACACAGCAAGATGAAAGGTAAGCCTGTTGCTCGAGCGAGGCCCTCGAACGGCATTTTGGTTTCAAAGCGTCTACTTTTGAGATCTGTTCGTAGATACAGTTTAAGGGGGAACACTACTATGACAGGCACAAAAAAGGCCCTTTTTCACGAATTTGTTTTCACTGCTTAATGAATTATTTAAGGATTGAGGGAAGAATATATTATTGAGGACACTTTGAAGTAGTTTTATACAAATTTTTATTAAAAAATAATAAAAATTGACAAAGATATATACAACAGAGTGTCGGTCCGTAAGAAATTCTTCTTTCAACGGTGGGATCGATATCTCTGGCATGGTTCATCTGAAAAAAGAAACTCAAGTATTTTCTTAATCTGCATAAATGTAGTTTTCGTTAAGCGTAGCCGTTTTTTTTTTTCTTTTAATTAATTTTGCTCAAAATAGAGGCATGTTAAATAAGAACCTCGATTTTTCCAACATTTTTTCTTCATTCAAAATAGTAATTTTCAAAATAAAAAAGAACGGCTGCGCTTAACGAAAACTACATTTATGCAGATTAAGAAAATATTTGAGTTCTTTTTCGGATGAACCATGCCAGACATATCGATCTCACCGTTGGGAGAAGAATTTTTTATGGATCATCTGTTGTATATATCTTTGTTAATTTTTATTATTTTTTAATAAAAATTTGTATAAAACTACTTCAAAGTGTCCTTAATAATATACTCTTTCCTCAATCCTTAAGTAATTCACTAAGTAGCGAAAAAAAATTCGTGAAAATGGGCCTATTTTGGGCCCGTCACAGTGGTATTCCCCCTTTATGTATCTTGTGTGCGTGTGAATATATATGTGTGTGTGTGTGTGTGTGTGTGTGTGTGTATAATGTTAAAATTCTTGTAAAATATCTAGTAGTACCAATGTTTGAAGTAGATCTCAAAGTTAATACTCGTCTACTATTACTATTGATTTTCGAATCTCTTTGCATATTTCAGCCATACTTTTTGTCACCTTTCTGTGCCTGGCTATGATTTGCTCTTATACCAAAGCGGACATTGACTGTCCATTCCCGGACGGAAAAGACGTGGTTCTTCGGCCAAATCCGTACTACTGCGAAGACTACTTTGCCTGCAGCAATGGCGAAGCAATCCCGATGAAGTGTCCCAAAGGACTGCACTTTAATTCTGAACTTCGTGTCTGCGACTGGCCGTGGCATGCAGGATGCGAGACCCCTTAATTTGATCAATGAATTTATTCGTTATAATAACCTGCATCCAGTCGCATGAAATCATACATGGTCATTATCTTGCTGTCCTAAAAAATCATCGCATAATTTACAACTTATGGATACACTGTGTAACCAATAAACGTCTATCCATTATCTAAACTTATGCGTGTGCGTAATTCTCAGTCCTTTATTACGTAAAGTGGCACGATGCTATCGATGCCAGATGAAGATTGATGAAGACTGCCCAATCTAACGACAACCGCTTGCGATAAGTCAATTAGTCTGTGCAGCCACAAGTGTAATTCCATCAACTACGGGCATAGGTAAATTTCGTTTGGCTCGACATACTTCACAGTTACACGTGTGAAAGCGGATCATGGCGGTTTTAATATATGAAACGGCCTCTACACGGAGAGAGTTACAAGCAATTTTTCCACGAATCATAAAGAATAGCGACACGATCCGTTTTGCGGTTTTCTTTTTCAATGCGACCTTTTACATGATAAATGTGACATCGACCCCTTAGCCCTTCGGAAGGTAAAAAGTGAGTCTCCATTTTTTTTTCTTAACCCAAAGTGGCATATAAATTTTGTCTCTCTCTCTCTCTCTCTCTCTCTCTCTCTGCAGGATCGATATTTCATTCATTACATATAATAAAAAGCGATAAAACTGAGCTACGAAAACCGAGAGGGAAATTATGTTTCTGTCTATCGTCGTAGATCGTGAAAAATATGCGCGTAACGCTTCGCGCGGCACGTGTTGCGCGATTATTTTTCTCGCGCGCGAAACTCCAACTCGATCGCGACGAGTGTTGACGATTCGTCGTCGCGTGTACCGAGTGTATCGTCCGACATGAAGCGTTTTGTAGATGGGCCCGAGCGCGAAAGTTAACTTCGTTCGTGAAACACGACGTCCTTCGTAGCTTGGAGAGGCGCGTCGGATATTGGCGCTAACTCTCGCCTTTACGAGCGTAACGAGAAACTATCTCGGCGCATTTCGGAAGCGAAGGTAAGTGTTTGGCATCGAGATATATATATCTCGCATCAAGTGATGGCGGAGATCTTGCGCCGCTGCGCGATTGCACCTCGCCGCAATTTAACAGCAACAGTTTAACGGGCAGTTTGTATTGTCGAACCGACAAGTGCGTTTTACGGGAGATGTAACGCGCGGGTGAGGCGAATGAACTTGGAATAGTAATTGCGCGCATATGGACGGGACGGGACGGGCGGGCCATGAAGAATTTACTACTTAATCGTTCGCGCTTTTCCGGAATTGCCGCGTTTAGAGGAACTCTTTCGCACAACGACGGCAATTTAGAGTAAGTACTTGGGAATCAGGTTAAAAACCCTTAAATATTTCTTCGCAATTGGGTGATACTCTCTGAGAATACTCTCTTTGTCCCGTACGCGTCCCCCGGTCCCCGGATAATGGTCCATTTGTGATTCCCCGTGTCTTTCACACTTGACAAATCCCATCATATCGATGATGGGAGTAGAGGTCGGATTAATACCTCGTAGACTTGTGGATTTTCGAGAGATCGAGATGTATCATCATGAGGGAGCAAAAGGGGATGAGGTGAGGTCAGAACGAGGCTGCGAGGGACAGAGAAGAAGGAGGGGAACGAGAAGAGATGACGGAAGCGAGGAAAGACCTCATCACAGACCGGTGACACTTAAATTCCCCATTTCGTTTCGAGCTCAATGCTCCAACGGAGTTTGTCGCCTTCGTCGTGTACGTCGCTGTCGCGCCGCCGCGCCGATGTCACTCTCCGTCCGTCAGTTAATGTCGTATTCTCCTCGTAAAAAGGTAAACGGGAGAAAGAGGCGAGCCGCGAAAGCAAGGCGGCGAGGCAAGGCGACGAAAGGCAGGGAAAGCGACGAACGAATGAACGAACGAAGCAACGAACGGAGGAACGAACGAACGAACGAACGAACGAACGAACGAACGAACGAGCCGGCGTGGCGGACAGAGAGCTGCGGCAGCGAACGGATCGAGACTTCTTATCGGTACGAGTCAGCTACCGGCTGGCAGTCAGCTCGCTTACGCGCATCTCGTATGTTCCTTTTCAACCCCCGTCTCTCCCTTCCGCGTTCTTCTCGCGCGCTCTCGCCCACGATACCTTTTTCTTCCGTCACTTCCGCACCGGCTTTACCGGCTTCCGTCGCTTCCCACCTTGACACTCCGCCGATATGTATCCGGTCGGCGAGAGAGAGAGAGAGAGAGAGAGAGAGAGAGAGAGAGAGAGAGAGAGAGAGAGAGAGAGAGAGAGGGAGGGAGAGAGGGAGAGAGAGAGAGAGGGGGGGAGAGAGAGAGAGAGAGAGAGAGGGAGAGAGAGAGAGAGAGAGAACGGCAACGACGAGGGCCCCGCGCGCGCTGTTAATGGATTCTATTCTGTGTCAAATTGGAAACCGATTGGTTGCCGTCGTTGTCATAAGATGCGCCGCGAGAGATAGGCGTGCACCAATGATCGATCCCGCGGGAACGTTTCATCGTCTCCCTCTCATCTTCGCCGGAGCGCGAGAAAACCTATAATTGCCGAGACACTGTCCTTTTGAATTTCGTTGGCAAATGTAGACGCCCGGCTACTATTTACGATCTCGCGTTTATCGCGCCTTCACGGATATAGACGCGCTTCTAACTCTGGTATAAAAGATCGGAGATAATGAGATATCGCGTGTTGCGATTAACGCCGATTCTTCAGCACTGTCGCGACTGAGTAATTACGCAGCTGGCTCCTGCAAAGAGACTGATAACGATACACACACACACACACACACACACTCTCTCTCTCTCTCTCTCTCTCTCTTTCTTGCGGTGCTTGCGTATTTACTCTCAGCGCAAAATATGTAAATGCAAAGTTCATAATTATAAGTTCAGCGTTTCAGCGCGAACTGCGCATTTAACTTTTACTCATTTGCGCCCCCCTCCCGACGCTCCTTGGAAAATAAAGGAAATTTGGAATACATAATCCAGCGCTTAATTTATGCAGCTTGTTTTACCAGGTGGTACGTTCTGTCAAGGCGTTACGCGCGGCAGGAGGCGAGAGCAAATTAATAGCCAGACATTTTTCCAAGTAAAGAAGATAGAGAATACTAACGCGAGGAAAGAAGAGGAAGAACGAGTGAGAGAGGAAGAGACAGAGAGAGAGAGAGAGAGAGAGAGAGAGAGAAAGGGAGATACGGCGCGGGGGCGATTATAAAACGCTCAGATGGCGTGCAAAGAACGCGAAGGTTCTCCGTTGCACGAGACATGTGGCGAACTTAGGCTTCGCCCGTCAGCAGATTAGAGTTTTGTTGCGTGTCTCCTTGGGCTTGTACATTTATTACACGGTTAGTAATTTTTATTGAGTAGCATTATCTCTTTTTAATCACCGGCATTAAACCGGTACGTCTCTCCGCTCACTGTTATCCTCCTCGTTTATGCCGTGGAACGTTTCAAGCCGGCGAAATTCAAGCCGCGGCTAAGCGCGCAGGGCGAACGAGTCGTGCTTTCAACTGGCGGGAGTTTCGATCGAAAAAGTAGTCGCGACGTAACTCTCTCTCTCTCTCTCTCTCTACGGATAATAACGTATTACATATTCCGCGGTATACCGGAAGCAATCTGGCGCGCGACACAAAGTGATCAACTATCGGGATACTTTACACGATACGCTCGTGTCGATAGGATTGGCACGTGTGCGTGCTTTATTTATGATGTATGCGCACAGAAGTTAAGAAGTGATACCATAAATCTGGACCTTCGCGAAGTAACGTATTCCGCAGGAAGAATGCAGTGCGCGAGCGGCGCGGGGGGACGACGCGAAGTGTGCGACAACGTAACGTTGCATATGCGCGGATGAGATGGCATTTTTGCCCGGCACAACGGAAGAAGCCCCAAAAATTACTTTGCGTAAGTAAGCACGGACGATAAATACACCTCCGACAATATAACGTTCTTGGCTACGTCGGGCGATCTCATACATTCGCGGGCGAGCGCGAATAGCAAATAGAAAATCGCTTTTCACTGAGCACGCGGTCGTACATCGCGATCCCGCATACAAGCGAAACTATCGTTCGCGACCGCCCGTGATTTCGCAGATACGATTTCTGTAAATGGACTTTTTAGGCAATTTCCGGGGAGGGAGAGGGGGAGGGGAAGGGGGGGGGACACCGCGCACGACCTTCCCAGAATTCCTCACTGACGTGAGCTATCGGAAACACTATTTTTTGGAAGACACGATTTTACGGAAATGGCAAAAAATTCGATTTTCCCGTTGTACGCGGTAACAATCCTTGCGGACGCTGCCGTTTCTTTCTCGATTGTGCCGATTGTGAAAATTTCGATGGACGATCTCTCGCCTTGTCGGAGAGAAACGCCGACGCTGTTCTCGCGCTTAAGGCCCTTCAAATTCGCACACTCGCACTCGAGATTATGAAGATCCGGCGGTGGCGTATTCCACCTCGGTCGCGTCGATCGCCGGTGTACAGACATCTTTTTGTTCGTCATATTACGAGATGAAAAAGTGGAGTAGAGAGCGGGCCAAACGGCTGGCTGGCAGTCGGTCTCTCCCGATGTCCCCGAGGAAATCAAATTATCGATATATATGCGGGCTCGATGCGCACACGTAACGTATATATGATGGAGTGCAGGCCGAGCACAGGTGGCCGACTGATATTGGTTTTGCTTCCGGATTTTGCGGACACCCCTTATAGCGGTAGACGCAGGCGAGACTCGCCACGAAGGGCAATTACCCCACTAAATATTCACAAGTTCATTACGAGCGGAGTTGGACGCGCATTCACCCTCTTCCCCTTCGCTCCACCCTCTCGACCTTTACCTCTTGTCTTTACTTTCCCGTTCGACTGACGTAAGTAACATTCCCGAAATGCATTCAGTTCCCGGAAGCCCCTGCGCGCGCCGTCTCCTCGCCCATGTCGCGAGTGAATAGTTGGCTCGAATTTCGGAAGTCGATACGCGCAAAGATCATTCTTCCGCGTTGAAGAGTCCCGGATAATTTGGAGGATCACGCGCGATTGTACGACGGGTGCGATTAATTCGAGTTGCGGTAGCACCTTGCGAGCAACAAATACGATGATACTCAATCCGCG